TTTTTTTTTTTTTGGTGGTACTGGTATTTGAACTCAGAGCCTCATGCATGCTAGGCAGGCACTCTACCACTTGAGCCACTCCACCAGCCCCGACACTCTACCACTTGAGTCATGCTTCCAGACCCATGTTTTTGTTTTCCTTTTAAAAAAGTAAGTTTCCCCTCCCCTTTTTTCTTCTCACACTAACTCTCCTTTTTACTTTATTTTATATTTTTTAAGACAGTATCTCCTGTGATCCCAGGCTGGACTGAAACTCCCAATCCTCTTGCCTCTGCTCTCCAGTATTGGATTATAGGCATGTACCACCACACCCTGCTGGTATGGTGGTTTATCAATAATTTAAAAGTGATTACCAGCTGGGGATGGAGCTCAGGGGTAGAGCACTTGCCTGGATTGCTGGAGGCTGAGTTCCATTCCCACACTGCAAAGAGCAAAATTCTCCTACTGTAACACAATGGTTGATCACATGCTGGTCTCACTACATTTTCAAATAGGATTAAAATGCCGGAGCACTCCCTTTTCAGATATTTATAACCTTCACCTTGGTACAACTTAAATTATTTAATGCTCATTTAAGTGTGTCTGTATACTTGTTGTTCCTTACTTTCTGTGATTCCAAACACAGCAGTTAGGCCTAGCATTCAGGAGGCAGAGGGAGGGGGACAGAGTTCAAGGAGAGTTGAGGTACATAGGACAACCTTGTCTAAAAAATAAACCACACATTGATGTTTCAGAAGTGCTTAAAGAGAAAGAGATACATGTTAAACAATGGGTCTGGTTAACATCACATTATAGAGCCCATGCAGCAAGACCTGCATGTAGTGAAGTGAGCATCGCATGTTTCTGGGTCATAGAGAGAGTGAGAAGAGAGAAATTTATGACCCTCACCCTTCCCATCATCCACTGAAACAAGGGTTCCACACTATGGAATCCCCAGAGATTGTAGGGGTAGATTTTCTCCTGCTGTGGTTTTTGAACTGGGTTGGGGCCCTGCAATGTGTTTGTGAGCTGTGGTCCAGGATTAGAGCCTGTGGGAGCAGCCAGTGTCCTTTTGCTTAGAGATTATCTCTGAATTTTTTAAATTTATTGCTCAAATGTATTCTCAAGTATTTAAGCTTAGAATGTTGTGTTCCATTCTGCCAGATGCATTAATTGATCAGTACATTAATTAATTAGTATTACTTAATTAGAGAAGAGAAGGGACTCGGGATTATGCTCTGGCTAGTCTCCAAGGAGCTGGCTCAAGGGATCCTCCCTGTTAACCTCCCAAGTAGTTGGGACTACAGGTGTTCCAAACTGAGGTTGACAAAACCAAACATCCCCAAACGATGATATTTTCAGGGTTTGCTTTTTCTAATATTAGGAACAGACTGATGCTTTCCTGTCACACTCAGGATTATGATGGTCCCAGAGTAGAAAACCACCTCAAATGGGGTGCAGTGGATCAACGAGTGGGTCCTTGACCTTCACACCATTCCTGAGTCTTTCGCTTTCAGGGAGGGACATCTAACTCACTAAATTGAGCAGGGGAGGGAGGATTAACTGGGTGGAGCTTCAGTAGTCTGATCAGATGCTGCTTTCTGATTGGACACAAGCAGCTGAAAAGGGAAGTGCTTGTAGGAAGGTCAATAAAGCTTCAGGAGAACCAAAGGAAGAGAAGCAGAGTCCTGGAGCCTGGAGTCACTGCCTGTCCCTGCTGGGAGTCAGAGAGCTCTGGGCATTTCTTTCACATCCGGTAAGTCACCTTCATATGGACACCCCAGAACCTCCCTCAACCAGGTCAGCTGTGGCCTTGCACCAGGGTGCCACTGAGAACCTTATGATTTCTGCATCTTCAGATGAACAGTTATAAGATTTTTTCTTTTTTAGAGGATCTGGTGTTTGAACTTGGGGAGTTTCTAAACAGGCGCACTACACTTGAGCCATGCTGCTGAACTAAGACTTTGGTTTTGACTTAACTCAGCGTTGTACTCATCTCAGATTTTTTTTCTTTCTTTTTTTTTCAGAACTGGGGCTTGAACTCAGGGCCTACAACTTGAGCCACCCCACCAGTCCTTTCCTTATGATGGGATTTTTCAAGATAGGGTCTCAATTATTTGTCTTGGCTGACTTTGAACCATGATCCTTCTGATCTCTGTCTCCTTAGTAGCTAGGACTACAAGTGAGAACCACTGGTGCCTGGCTATTTTTTTTTTTTTTTGACAATTCTGGAGTTGGAACTCAGGGCCTCATGCTTGGTAGGCTCTGCTCTACCTCTTGTGCTACCCCTCTGGCTCTTTTTAGTATTGGGTATTTTGTTTTATTCATTTATTTGCTTCCATATCTTTATTTTTTATGCCAGAATGGTAACGTGCATCATAACAACACAAGGTCTGAGAGAGGCATGTGTCGTGCAAAGGCGTAAACACCCAGGCATCACGCTGATGAACCAAAAGTGAATCTGTTGGGTATTTTTGGGGTACGGTTTCTGGAACTATTTCCTTGGGTTGGCTTCAAACCTCTACCCTCTCGATTGCTGCCTCCTGAGAAGCTAGGGTAGAGGCCTGAGCCAAGGATGCTTGGCACACAGATGTTGGGTGTTCTCTTGTTCGGATAATTTTGAAGCTTCTTGTTTTTGGTTTTGGAGAGGGTGTCTGGCTGTGTAGCTCACCTGACCTTGAAATCATGATCCTCTCGTTTATTCTCTTTGTGGGTGGGATTACTTTCTTGCACCACCAAGCCTGGCTTTCATTTGTAAATTTCTTTTTTTTTTTTTTTTTTTTTTATCTTACACTTCTTTTTTTTTTCATTTTTCTTTTATTATTCGTATGTGCATACAAGGCTTGGTTTATTTCTCCCCCCTGCCCCCACCCCCTCCCTTACCACCCACTCCACCCCCTCCCGCTCCCCCCCCTCAATACCCAGCAGAAACTATTTTGCCCTTATCTCTAATTTTGTTGTAGAGAGAGTATAAGCAATAATAGGAAGGAACAAGGGGTTTTGCTGGTTGAGATAAGGATAGCTATACAGGGCATTGACTCACATTGATTTCCTGTGCGTGGGTGTTACCTTCTAGGTTAATTCTTTTTAATCTAACCTTTTCTCTAGTTCCTGGTCCCCTTTTCCTATTGGCCTCAGTTGCTTTAAGGTATCTGCTTTAGTTTCTCTGCATTAAGGGCAACAAATGCTAGCTAGTTTTTTAGGTGTCTTACCTATCCTCACCCCTCCCTTGTGTGCTCTCGCTTTTATCATGTGCTCATAGTCCAATCCCCTTGTTGTGTTTGCCCTTGATCTAATGTCCACATATGAGGGAGAACATACGATTTTTGGTCTTTTGAGCCAGGCTAACCTCACTCAGAATGATGTTCTCCAATTCCATCCATTTACCAGCAAATGATAACATTTCGTTCTTCTTCATGGCTGCATAAAATTCCATTGTGTATAGATACCACATTTTCTTAATCCATTCGTCAGTGCTGGGGCATCTTGGCTGTTTCCATAACTTGGCTATTGTGAATAGTGCCGCAATAAACATGGATGTGCAGGTGCCTCTGGAGTAACAGTCTTTTGGGTATATCCCCAAGAGTGGTATTGCTGGATCAAATGGTAGATCGATGTCCAGCTTTTTAAGTAGCCTCCAAATTTTTTTCCAGAGTGGTTGTACTAGTCTACATTCCCACCAACAGTGTATCATTTGTAAATTTCTGAAGAAGCTTTTGTTTCGTTTTCTAAAACACCACCATCATGTGACTGAACTTTTATTACTTAACAATTTAAATATTACTTTGTAGTCCCTTAAATTACAGTTATCAGTCTAGGTGCTCTAGTGATTTTACACATTAAATTATTGTAATTTATTAGTTTGTTTTTATTTTTTTCATGCATTCATTCATCTAATTATTTTGGAGATTTGTTTTCACTCATCAGCCAGACTTAATTGTAATTCTAACTCACAATCCTCCCACTCCAGCAGCCCCATGGTCTGGTTGCAGGCACAGGTGTCCCCACCTGGTTCTACACCTCCCTTGCAAGTCAGTTTAAAAGTAAACCTGGGACTGGGCATGGTGGAGCAGCTGTAATGCCAGCATTTGGGATGCTAAGGTGGGATAGTTAATTGTTGGAGGCCAGCTGAAGCTATAGAGAGAGACATTGTCACAACAGAACAAGTACTGAAGAAAAAGGAGGAGAAAAAAGGAAATTTAAAAATATTCTGTACAGTATTTTGCTCTGGGGTCTTATTTATTTATTTGTTTATTTAGTGGCAATGGGGACACAATTAGGGCATTCTGCCTACCAGGAAACACTTAGTCACTGAGCTCCACCCCAGCCTGTGCAGACTTTAAAGATGGAGTCCTGTTCTGCTCTGGGCTTCCCAGGCTCCTCTCCCAGGGCTCAGTGCTCCTAGGAGCAGGGCTGGCACATGGGAATGCCCATCTCAGAGCTCACCTTAGGCTCAGGGTTTCCGCCCCAGAGTCAGCATTTCCCACATGCTGCCTCCCTGCTCCATGGCTTCCACAATCACTTCTTCAAGGATTGGAAAAGGGAAATGAATGGCACCATTTTTCCAGTCTCCTCCATCCTTCCTGGGCAGAGTAACATAGAAGGAACAGAGAACGTAGGGAGGCAGGGCACATGGGATTTCCCTTGCTTTTGTTTTAGGAACTTGAAGGTGACCAGAAACTTTATGACAGAAAAGCTGGGCTGAGCTTATGGCTCCTTGTGTCCCTTCCAGCAGAGACTGAATACACAGGAGCAGTGGTAGCACATCCATGGGCAATACTGACCTTGTGCTGGTGACACACTTATCCTGCTGCTCGCTGTCACAGAGCTGTAGCTTTGTGGCCCTCAGGTGCTGAGGGGAAATAGGGTAAACTCAGTCTCTTCCACCACTGCAGAGCAATGACTCAGATCCTGAGTGGGTCCTTAGATGGTGAGTATAGGTTTTCTTGGCCTTGTCCTGAAGTAGTCATCTTCCTGGATGCATGCCAGGAGGCTCTCATTACAGATCCTTCAGAAAGAGCATGAAGGCCCCACCCACCCTCCTGCAGCTGGCAGGGCAGAGCCTGCTGAGGAACGAGGCCCTGGCCATCTCTGTTCTGGAGACACTGCCCATGCAGCTCTTCCCTCCTCTCTTCATGGCGGCCTTCTCTGGGAGACACACTAAGATTATGAAGTCCATGGTGCAGGCCTGGCCCTTCCCCTGCCTCCCCCTGGGGGCCCTGGTGAAGACACAAGAACTGGAGATCTTACAGGTTGCCTTGGATGGGGTTGACATGCTGCTTGGCCAGCAGGTTCGCCCCAGGTGAGTGTGACCCAGAGGGCATGGAAGGGAGGACCCTGAATCATGGGAGAACTGAGTTGAGATCATGGAGAGTAGGAAGGAAGGTGACCAGAATCATCTAATAGTCAAACAAGGAGATTAGAAAGGCGAGGGCCATTGCTGAGCTCCACCTGGGAATCAGTTTGCAGCAGAGGAGGAGTGCTCAGGATGGATGCAGAGATGGCAGAAGGAGTTCCCACACATGGTACAAGAAGGAACCAGCTAGATTCAAGAGGTATGGGGCAAAGTATAGGAAGAGAATTCCGCCAAGCAGCCCGGGGAAAGACCCTTTGCCTATCTTGCCTGAGGCCTGGGCCTAGAGCCTCAACACTTAAAGAGAAAAATGAAATACAGAAATAACAAAACAAGGAAAACTAACACAGACACAAAATTGAGAAGGCAGCAGGGATGTTTGAGATGGGGAACAGAAGCACAGGTGGATATTGGAACTCTCAAGATTCTCACATTCTCCTTGTTTCTCCTCAGGAGGTGGAAACTGCAGGTAATGGACCTGTGGTCTGTGCACCAGAACTTCTGGAACATGTTGTCTGAAGCCATGGCTGGGGGCTGGGCAACACAGGCTAAGAGCAGGAACCTAGTAGTGGATGTACCTCCAAGGACAGGGGTGAAGCAGCCCTTCAGGCTGATAGTTGACCTTAACCTTGATCTCTGTGACATGAATGAATTCCAAACGTACCTGTTTGAGTGGGTCCAGCAGAGGAAAAGTTCAATACAGCTGTGCTGTAGGAAGATGAAGATTTGGGAACTGAGCACCTACAGCTCCAGGGTATGGTCCATCCACAGGGTCATGTCCCTGTTAGAGCCAGACTGGATGGAGGAGGTGGAAATGAATTGTCCCTTGACCCTGTACACCCTGGCCTTGCTTGCTCATTATCTGGGCCAGATGAGAAACCTGCGCAAACTTCAAATCTTTGTCCTGGCATGCATTTCTCCAGAACAGAATGATCAGTTTGTCGCCACCTTCGCTTCTCAGTTGGGAAAACTCAGCCGCCTTGAAGAGCTCAGTATGAGCATGGCCTATTTCCTCCACAGCCACCTGCATCAGGTGCTCAGGTGAGGACGGATGGGAGCTTTCATCCGAGCAGAACCAAGCCTGCTGTGTGCCAGCCAGCGCTGATGTCAGTGTGATGTGTGCATTAGCTATCTAACTGTTGATTTTTTCCAGTTTATCTTTTTGTGTGGATGCTCATAACTTCTCAAAGTCAGAAGGGACACATATGGTGGATGGCCTACAGGAGTCACCACACTAGAGCTGTGGGGTGCCGGTGTAGAGAAGGTGGGCTGTGAGTTCCTCCCTAGGAGGTGTGTCTTCCTCAGGTGGTGAAAGTAGGAAGGAGAGGGGACACTGAAGGAGGGAAGCAACTCACACCTGCACAGGTCACCACAGGAGCACTGAGCTCCAAAGCTGTCTGAGGAGAAAGGGTCCTGTCTCTAAGATCTCTTCTCTGAGAGGTGGTGGGTGTTGTGCTCAGGCAGCGAAGGGACTGGTGGAAGTGAGTGGCACTGGGGCTGAGGCTGAGGGCAGCAGAGAAGCAAGGGGACAGTGACAGATGCTATGCTGGGGATACAGGAAGGAGTGAGCCACACAGGTAGCAACTCCAGCAAGGTTTCCAGATTTGCCTGGGTTTGTCCTTCCTGCAGGTCTCCACTGGCCAGAACTGGGGCATTGTGTGTGACAGTGAGGAAAGGGCATGGTGGAGATGGGCCAGTGAGCCAGTCACACAGTGATGGTGAAGGACCTCAGCTTAGAATGGGGAGACTAGAGAACACGCTCTTTAACATGCGGCATCCTTGGTATCGACCATGTAGAGATCGTCAGGTCCACTTGGGTGTGGATGGGAAAAGTTGTGCTCTCTGACCTCAATTCATTCTTGACCCTCCTCCACCCTACAGTACATTAGCCAGGACTAACTGCTGTGTCTGTCCTTAGGTGTCTGAAGACCCCCTTGGAGTCACTATCAATAACTTATTGCCAGCTTGCAGAATCAGACTTGAAACATCTGACCCAATGCCAGAGCATCAACCAGCTCAGACACCTGAGTCTGAGAGGAGTCCCACTGACATATGTGCATCCTGAGCTCCTCCAAGTCCTGCTAGAGAAAGTCACAGAAACCCTGAAGACCCTGGATTTGAAGGACTGTGAGATCAGAGACCCCCAGCTCACTGCCATTCTGCCCGCCCTGAGCCACTGCTCCCAGCTCAGCAGGATCAACTTATTTGGGAACTCTATTTCCATGAGTGTCCTGAAAGACCTGCTGCACCACACTGCCAGGCTGAGCCAGTTGATCCAGGAGCTGTACCCTGCCCCTCTGGAGAGCTATGAAAGGCTGGCGGCTGTGGGCACATGGAGATTTACCCAAGACTGTGCTGAGCTCATGGATATACTGAGGGCCTCAAGGAAGCCCAAGATGGTGCTGTTGAGTACTAAGCACTGCCCTCAATGTGGCAACCGATGCATCTATAACATGGTAGACTGTGTAAGCTACTGTTGGATATATGCCTAGTTGATTTCAAATTTCCAAATCTTTCTCTTGGCTACTATTAAGTGAAAGCCAAGGCCTAGGGGTCTGGCCATGGGAACAATGAGCAAGTGTTTTCCATCTACTATTCAACAGGTTTGACAAAAATGAAGGTAATGGAGAATGGTTCAGATTAGAGGGGAAAGACTGACATAGGGAGCAATGCATTCAGAAATATGAATGGTAATGTGCAGATGTGTCTTCAGGCTGGAGAGGTGCACGAGGGCGTTGCCCCTGCATGATCTTCTATATAAAAATGGTCAGAACATCCAGGCAAACCCTCTTTATCTCCCTGATCTGTCATCCTGGTGTCCAGTGTGAAGGGAGGAAAGTCCTATGACTATAGAGAACTGAAGGCACTGAGCTGTCTCAGCAGTAAGGCTGAAGCCCAAGAACTCTTGGTATCAACAATCAGAGCCACAATGACCATTCCTTCCATTCTTCCTTCTCTCTGACCATGTGTGGCTGGTCAGTGGTTATGCACACAAGGCTGTCAGCTGAAGTGAGCTGCTCAGACCCACTCGAAAGGACACTGTCCATTTGGAATCCATGGTGCTCAGGCTGGGGTGGACCATAGGCGTGTCCTTGGGGGCCGGGGAAAGGGAAAGACAAAATGCATGGAAAGGGAATTGGGTGTAAGCCATATTTCAGATGCCATGCTCTTGCAAACTCTTAACCATTTCGTTGCCCCTTGCATGCAAGGCCTGCACTATGGGGACAAATATTCCTCTCCTGTACTAAGGCTTCCATCTGAAGCAGGGGGTAGGCATCATGGAAAGAGAAGTGCTTATTTTCCCCTCTTCATCCCTCCTAGGGACCAAAGCTACCACATCCTTTAATTTGCCCTTCCTTTCTGTTAACAAGGAGGATAATAGGCAATCAGGCACAGAATGAGTCTCAGTCTCCATGGGGCCTCCATTTGGTCAGGATTCATCCCAACAGAAGAACTGCAGCAGGCAGCAGGGGTGGACAGTGGGGCACAAAACTGGATTCGTGAGTGTGTGGCTAATGTGGTAAAGCATCTGCATAGTAAATGGAAAGTCCTGAGTGCAATCCCCAGGACTGAAAAAATAACAATAAAACCCAGCACCAGGACGGACCTCCAGTGATCAGAAAAGATCCAAGCTGTGGGCCTCGTGCGCCCTCTGCTGGACGCTCAGGACAGAGGCGTGAGTGTTTTCCAGACCCACTGCTTCCCGTGGTCATTTACAAAACTGCTGTTCTGGGAGACTATTGAGCATCCATCCTGTGTGTGATTTTTTGAAATTTTGGAAGGATTTTTTTAATAAGCAAGATAAAGTGGGGAGAAATGGGGGTGGGGTGGGGAAAGGAAGGAACATTCCTTGCTCGCCATGCAGGAAATGTGGAGTTGTGATTTTTAAGTGATTATGAAGATATAAATCATTCTGAAAGTTATAAAGGAAATTTAGATCTTTCACAGAATGCAGTAGTATATGAGAATAGTGTTTAACTTGGTTTGCTGGTTCAAGAAAAAGAACACTTGCTCTGGGGGTGTTTTCAGTGGTAGACCCCTGGCATAGCATGTGTGAGGTCCTGGGTTCCATGAAAAATACCAAAAAAAAAAAAGGCTGAGTAGTGATTGGAAAATTAAGCGGTGTGTGACACACATGACTGTAATCCCAGACTCAGAAGGCTGAGGTATTTAAGACTGTAAGTTTGAGGCTACCCTGAAGGATATAGTAAAATCCTTTCTCAGAATACATTTATTAAAAATAAAGAAATGAAACTTTAAAAAATAAATGTAAACCTCAGTGAATGACAATATTACTTATTTAATAAATATTCAGGGCTGGTGGAGTAGCTCAAGTGGTTGAGAGCCTGCCTAGCAAGCGTGAGGTCCTGAGTTCAAATCTCAGTACCTCAAAAATAAATAAATATTCAGAAGAATAAAGTATTAGAGTTTGAATTGCTACACTTAATCATTTTTGGCAGTATGAGGGTTTGAACCCAAGGCCTCAAGGTAGCTAGGTGTGCTTCCTACCACTTGCGTGATTCCACCAGCCATTTTTGATATTGGGTATTTTCCTGATAGGATTTCTCCAACTACTTGCCTGGGCTGCCTTCAAAATGTGATCCTCCTTAATTCTGCCTCCTGAGTAGCTAAGATTACCAGATGTGAGCTACCAGCACCTGGGCACACTTATTTTTTATAGTTGCCTTGATTTTTTTTTTTTAACAATAGTTTTAGAATCAGAAAAGTTGGTCAGAAGCGCCATAGTTGCCATATCCCCTGCTCCACACAGGCACTGCCTATTGCAGAAGTGCTGTCCCCTTCCAGCAGGAAACAATCCTTATCATTCATAGGACACGAACTCCATAGTTGACCTCAGGGCTCCTTCTTGCTGTTGCACAGTGCACCAGTTTCGGAAAACATGTAATGAAAGGATTCCACATTGCAGTAACACAGAATCCTTTCTTGTGCTTGAAATCCTGTGTGCTCTGGGTATGCACCCGGCCTCACACCAGATCCTGTCAACCACTGGCTTTTATGATGTCTCCATGGTTTGTCATTGCAGATTATCATCCAGCATGTAGCCTCTATGATAGGTTTCCTTCACTGGGTAATTTGCATAAGGATCCAAGACCCCTCCCCACACCCACCTTCCTCACACAGTACCCCCCATGATTGATTTTCAGTGTCTGGCAGGACCATGGTTTGGTTATTCATTCACCTACTAAAGAAAGCCATGATACATTCCAAATACTGGCAATGAACAGAGCAGCCATAACCGTCCAGGTGGGGCCAATCCCTCTGGTAAAACCCCAGGAGCTTCACTGCTGCATTACAAAGGAATGCTTAGTCAACTGTTACTGGTTTTCTTCAAAATCTCACCTGTTAGACGGAATGGCCACTGAAATGGTAAGGATGGTGTTCCCACCCCTGGGTCCCCACATCTCAGCATGGCACCTGACAAGTGGTAGGTGCTCCTGACCTGCAGGTCACATGGAAACTCTACCTTCGGTGACAGCCACTAAAAGGCCAACTTGGAAAGAACACAGCTGGCTAAAAGTAACGTGGAAGACACAGCACTCAGGCTGCTGCTCTCACTGCCGTGTGTCAACGTCCAGCCTTCATAAGGGCTCATGAGCTGAACCTCACTGGTTTTCCATCCATTGTCCCCAGTAACACAGGACATCATCAGTGTCAAATTGTCCAACAAGCCAGATGCAGGTGCTCACACCTCTAATCCTAGCTACTCAGGAGGCAGAGATCAGGAGGATCAAGGTTCAAAGCCAGCCCTGGCAAATAGCTCATGAGACCCTATCTGGAAAAAACACATCACAAAAACACGTTGGCAGAATGGCTCAAGTATAGGCCCTGAGTTCAAACCCCAGTACCAAAAAGAAACCAAGCCAAACCAAACCAAACAAACAAACAAAAAAACCCACAGTCCAACAACACAGAGCAACACCTTCCCAGGCCTTCCCTTCATCCCAGGTCCTACTCTAGAGGGTTTGGTTTAGTTGCCTCATTCCACATCTTTCTGACTCCCTTTCTATTTGTCCATGCACATGGAGGCCTCCAGTGTCATCTACAATTCTAGAAAGGATGTCCTACTGTGGAATGGGTCATGGTGGGTTTTCCCACTTAAGTCACAGAGCTGCGGCTTTGCAGCCCTCTGGTGATGAGGAGAAATAGGGTAAACTGAGGTCCCTTTCCTCATTGCAGAGCAATGACTCCAGTCCTCAGTTGGGTCCTTGGTTGGTGAATAGGGGTTTTCTTTGCCTCGGTCTGAAGCAGGTGTCATCCTGGATGCTTTCGAGGAGCCTCTCATTGCAGATCCTTCAGAATGAGCATGAAGGCCCCACCCACCCTCCTGCAGCTGGCAGGGCAGAGCCTGCTGAGGAACGAGGCCCTGGTCATTTGCTCTGGAGACACTGCCCATGGAGCTCTTCCCTCCTCTGTTCATGGAGGCCTTCACCAGGAGACGCACTAATGTCATGAAGCCATAGCGCAGGCCTGGTCCTTCCTTTGCTTCCCCCTAGGAATCCTGATGAAGCCTGGAGACCTGGAGACTCTACAGGTCACCCTGGGTGGGATTGGCATGCTGCTTGTCAATCCCAGGGGAGTGTGACTCGGGGAATATGGAATGGAGGGTGGTGTGATCTATGGAGGACTGAGCTGGGGACATAGAGAGAAGTGGAAGTGACATCTGATGAAGCAAAGGAAGAAATTAACAAGGTGAGGCTATGCTGAGTTCCTCCTAGGAAAGGCCTCTGGGAGTGGAGGACTACTTTGAATGCATTCTGGGATGGCAGAAGGAACTGTATCTGTGTCCTCCCCCAGGTGTTAGAAGTGGGGAACAAACTTGATCCAATGGGAAGAGAGTGGAGCCAAGTAAGTGAGAGTTCTGTCAGGAACCCCAGGTGAGGAACCTTTGCCTAACAAGCATGGGGCCCTGGGAATGAGGCTCTGAACTTCAAGAAATAAGAGGAAGAAAGATGGGAATAAAAACATAAGGAAAATTTCGATGAGGATGAAATTGAAAAGGACACAGGATGTCCAGGATGGAGGATGGGGAATAGAAGCACAGGTGGATGTTGGGACCCTGAGAAGATTCTCAGACTCTCCCTGTTTCTCCTCAGGAGGTGGAAACTGCAGGTGCTGGAGCTTCAGACTGTGAATCTTCTGCTTAGAGAAGAGTACTTGTCATCTCTTAAGGTTCATTATGACAAGAAAAAGGTCACCTGAGGGTAATGGACTCTTCATTAATGGAGAGTCTGAACAAAACCTGCTCAGGGGACAGATCTGAGGTCTTATGAAGAGGATCAGATGTAAGGCGCCAGTGCTCACTGAGACAGGCAGGTGCTGAATTGCTTAGTAGCCACTACCTGAGTCAGTCTACTGTGGCCACCAGGCAAGGGAGGGAGAAAGAAATTCTTGTCCTCCATTTGTACAGTTCTGTGTTGAGGGTGATTCCAGAACTCTGCAAGTG